AGGGCATAGGTATTATGTAGAGTAGGAAGATAATTGTGAGGACAGCCTACCTACAAAGACAGCCTAGTAGTGTTGACTAAAGAAATGCTTTATCTTTAACATTGTGATGCAGGATGCAGGTAAACAAGTTTGTAAAAACATGTTTCCGCATTTTTTTTTTTTTTTTTTTTTGAGAAGGAGTTTCTCTCTTGTTACCCAGGCTGGAGTGCAATGGCGCGATCTCGGCTCACCACAACCTCCGCCTCCTGGGTTCAGGCAATTCTCCTGCCTCAGCCTCCGGAGTAGCTGGAATTACAGGCACGCGCCACCATGCCCAGCTAATTTTTTGTGTGTTTTTAGTAGAGACGGGGTTTCACCATGTTGACCAGGATGCTCTTGATCTCTTGACCTCATGATCCACCCTCCTCGGCCATCCAAAGTGCTGGGATTACAGGCGTGAGCCACCGCGCCCAGCCCTCAGCATTTCTTTTTTTTTTTTTTTTTTTGAGATGGAGTTTCAAACTGTCCGGCTGGAGTGCAATGGCACAATACTAGCTCATTGCAATCTCCGCCTCTCGTGTTTAAGCGATTTTCCTGCCTCAGCCTCTTGAGTAGCTGGGATTACAGGCACCCACTGCCACACCCAGCAAATTTTTGTGTTTTTAGTAGAGATGGGGTTTCACTGTGTTGGCTAGGCTGATCTCGAACTCCTGACCTTGTGATCTACCCACCTTAGCCTCCCGAAGTACTGGGCTTACAAATGTGAGCCACCGCGCCCAGCTTCAGTATTTTTAAACAACTGTTTTTGTTATACATGTTTCATGCTTCTACTATTTTCATGTGCTTTTTTTCAATGGTGTTTTATATTTTAAAAATCCTCACTATCACGTAACGTTAAAGGAGAAGACTGTATATTACTTTTTCAAATCTACCAGTTCCTTAATACTCAGAGTGTCACATAGACCAACAACAATTCTCACCTGAGAACTTGTTTAAAATATAGTATTTCAAGATGTACCTTAGATCTAATGAATCTGACTCTGGATTTTTTTTTTTATATCAAATACTATTTATTTTCTGTGAGACAGGGTCTCACTTTGTCACTCAGGCTGAAATACTATTTTTTTTTTGACTCTGGATTTTTAACAATATACATGGGTGATTTATAAACATGTGGAGGTTTGAAAAAGACTGTTTCAGTCATTATCCTGTAAAAAAATCAAATAGTACAGGATTTCATTAAACAAAAGTTCAAAGTTCTCCTTTCCACACCCCTCTTTATGCCATGCAAACCTATTTTATTCATGGTCTCTATAAGAAAGTTTCTTTTCATCCCTTCAAACATTTTCTATGTATATACTAGTATAAAAGTTTAATTCATGAATTCTCAAAAGTTTCTAAATTCATGAAGTATAAAGATAAACTGAGCACAAAATAATGAGGTTTTTTCTTTTACAAAAAGTATTCTAATAATGTATCATCTTAAATTTGCATTTATCTTACTACAGGTACTTTTCTGAATGTGCAATCTCACTTTTCCTCCTAATCACATAGAAAGTAGATGTTATTGAACATTCAGGAACACTGAGGAACAACGTGTCCAAGATTATATGGCTGGTTAGTGGGAGCCAGGATGTAAACTCACAATTTGACACTGGAGCATTCCCTTACAACCACTACATTATATCACTTTACTAAGGCTGTGTGCTTTATTTTAAACCTCCAAGTACCTATCGACAGAGCACTGCAGATTTTTAAAGGTCATTATTCTAATTGCAAGCATGAAATTAAGCATAGGCTCTAGATATCTGTGCTACTGTATATTCATACTAAATGAAAACTTCCTGAAAATAACTCTATTTTAGTTTTTATTCGGACAACACCTAAGCACATTACTAAGTATCCATTATGAATTCTCTTTTAGGTTCCAATATGAGTTTCTGTAGAAAAGCAAAAATATCTTTTATATTTCTTAGTAAGCTTCTTTCTTGAAGGTTAGCCATTTGTTGCATAATAAAAGAACATTTTCCTAGAAGTCTTATCAATCTTTTATCAAATGTCCTGGGACAACTATAACGAACTACCTTTGAAACTTCATGCTCTGAATTATTGACTTCAACAAAATGAGCCCCCAAAGCAGGTTTAAGTATGAACCAGAATGTGTAGTGGCAATATACATAAATTTGCAAAGTAAAATTTACCACTTGACATAGTATTTTTTCTTAAAATCTATCCACTGCTAATGAGGTCTCCTTTCATTTTTGCATGTATTAATTTTCTTTTTCCCTTTTGTTTCTTTTTTTGAGAAAAAGTCTAGCTCTGTTGCCCAAGCTGGAGTTCAGCAGCACAATCTCAATTCGCTGCATCTGCCTCCTAGGTTCAAGCAATTCTCCTGCCTCAGCCTCTCGAGTAGCTGGGATTCCAGGCAGGCACCACTACGCCTGGCTAATTTTTGTGTTTTTAGTACAGACAGGGTTATGCCATGTTAGCCAGGCTGGCCTTGAACTCTTGACCTCAAGTGATCCATTGGCTTCCACCTCCCCGAGTGCTGGGATTACAGGTATGAGCCACTGTGCCCAGCCTGTATGTGTTAATTTTATAATGAGTATGAATCCTAAAAAGAAATAAGCTTTCTGTAGTTGTCCCTTATCTGATCTATTTCCACTTTCACTTGTTTAGGGACTCTGTTGGATTTTCAAAAAAGTTGTATGATTTGACTAGAATGGCCATGCCTTAGTATGCCTGGGGTAGTCCTGGTTTATGATTGTTGTCCTGTTGTAATTATTAAGAGCTGATCCTTTCATTGCTAGAAGTTTTGCATATTAAATGATCAATTACATGTTGAATGTACATGTGACCCTGTTACACAGAAAATTGAATAATGACTTTCAGAAGATAATTTCATTTTGTATTTACTTATGGGTCAAATTCCCATCTGACCACAAATGGCCTAAATATATGCTTCAAATTGAATTTTGTTAATGTTAGAACTGACCAAATTTAACTGATAAAAGCATACAGAACTGATTAAAATAATGCATTAAACCTTGGTTAAAATCTTGCAGACTGGGCATTAATTTCACAAGTCAATAATAAACATACAAAACCATGTTTTCTCAAATTATAGTGGATAGTTAAATTGTACAATAATAATGATTTATTTTTAAAAAGAAAAACCTACTTAACCTTCTTCAATAACTAATTGAGGCAAAGTAGAAATCGATCCTCATCCCTAAGAGATTATAGATTATTTATTCATTTATTTTAAAAAAGGGATGACTTCTTGCTATGATGCCTAGGCTGATCTCAAACTCCTGGCCTAAAACAGTTCTTCCAACTGTATAGTGCTGAGATGACAGGTGTGAGGTACCATGCCTGTCCACACTATAAATTTTTAAAACTCTGGATTTTGAGTTCATGAAAATTCCTAGAGCAGTTACATAAATTTACTAAGAGGTGGTTTTTCTTATGATGTAAATTAGACATTTGTAATTGTTTAATTGATCCCCTGTGATGTCAAGGTTTCTTATTATCAAATTCATCTAAGGGCCTTGTCTGTTATGGCCCACTGACTTAGTTGTCCTCAGGTAATCCATACTCCAGAGGCCCAGTTCGAATCTCTATTTTGGAACTATTTGTAAAAATTAAAATTATTTACTTTTTTTGTGTTAATTATCCATCATACTTTGAGGCCAGAGATTTTGTCTTGCTCAACTTTTATATCCCCAATACCTATTCCAGTACTCTCATCTTTCTGAATAAATAAGTATATAAATGAATAAACAAATGAAAATACAGAATCTTTTCATGAATTACATTAGATTTTTATATACCTTGATTTTAAGTTAGGAGTAAAATTAATCAATTTTACTGCGTACACTTCTAGGAAAAGACAAAAGCAAGATATTATAATGCAGCTGCTGCTTGTCCTCAGCTCCTTGAATAAGTCACAGTGAACAGGAAACACTAGTAAGTTGTTGAAACTGATGTGATGTAGTCAGTAAGGAAGACACTAACTAAAGATAACGTTAATATGGAAAAGTATGTCTCTTCTGATCCCTAATCTGAAATTAAGCACTATGAAATTTCTTTTAACCCAGAATAATGCTCCTTTTATATGACTGTGAAAAGGCTGTAAATATCATTATTCTTTTTTTATTACCTAAAAAATTTAGTATGATTCCTTTCCTGTATAAAGCAAAGTCATGATCAACAACAATTTTTAAAAACTCCCTATGTATGGATATTTTCCTCAGGTTATAATATTTTTCTATGTTGTAAAATGATATTAACATAAAGGAACAGAACTGGGTATTGGGGAGAGGGATTGTAATTTTTTCCCTAATTTACTTGAAAAAATAGAAAATCTGAGGTATGGTTTACTTTTCCAAAATCTTTAAAAATTATAATTAATGAATAAATATTACTTCTAATTAGATAATGTTATAATTTGTTAAATAAGCTATTACAATCAGTGTGACTAAAAGAAAGCAAAAAATTGTCTGATGTAGCTTAAACACCACCAAAACATATAGGACAGTTGGATTTCCTTCTTTGAAAAAAGATCAGAGCACATACAATGTAAGTTAATCCACAACAGATAGGCAAAATAAATAATAGAGGAAAAACTTAATTTCAAAAGGTGAAATAAATGAATCCTTTTAATGGCCTAGTACACTAATAAAAATTGAAAAGTTTCACAAGCCTATTTTGTCTCCAGGATTTCCATTATAGAAATTCAATTTTTCAAAATATACACAGAGAATTTTATTAAAACATTCCTGTCAAATTAGCCATTCGACATAAAATCATGTTTTCATAGTACCCATAAAATTGGAAAGTTTTGTATATTAATTTTCAACAATGCCACTTTATTTCCTGTATAATCTGTTATCATAGAATGAATCACTTCCTGTTGAAAACTGTCTGAATTTCCTCGGAAAGGAATAGGACAAAAAATTAGTTTCCTATTTGGGAGGATTCTTAGAATTTAAATAAACCTATTCGTTGAACAGAAACCACAAAATAAGCATTTTCTAATCACTGCATTTAAATAGCTGTGAAGCAAAGACATCAGCCATCGTCTTTATCATCAACCCAGCTTGCATCACTCCAGTCTTGGGTTTAAGGTACTGCATTTACATACAGCAAAATTATTATCATTTTACATTGTCTAATCTCTTTCTTCCACCCTTTATTAAGTTTATTTGTAACTTTTCCATATGTTTGCAAATGTTAGAAACTTCTTATATTTTACTGGAAGCTTAAAAATGCTTTTGCAAATTTTGGTACCATTTTAGAGCTTCAGGTAGTGAATCAATACAGTTTTATAAAAATACCAAATCATTTTTTGATAATTTTGCAGCTAAAATATTGTATATTTTAAAAGTTGATACATAATTTCAGTAGAAACTTAGGGTAAGGTAATTTAAATTATTTTTACTTATTTCTATGGAAAGTTGTTATGCAAATAATTTCTTATTTTTGTAGTTACCATAGCAAAAACAATTTCTGGCAGAATATTTCAAGGTCTTTTTTGTTTTATATAATTTTGGTAATAAAATTAATTCTACAATGTGTATATCTATAATGGATAATGAAATATAGATGACTAATTTATAAAGATTATTAAATTTAGATATTCAGAAAGATACAAATAGATATATAGTAAATTAATTTGGGTTCAAAAATATGCCCTTCTTTATTAACACATTTAGATTCTAAAATTTGTAGACTGAAGTAGTATATACAAATTTCAGCATTGGTATGCTGATGAAAGTGTGAACAAATTGCATGTGTGACCTGATTTTTCTTTCTAATGATTTATCTGGAAACCATTTTCCCAGTACATGTGAATATTCCTATTTCTGGGTTCTTGCAATTTGATGAAACACTAGAAATCAAATAAAATACATGAATATTATGATTCTTTACAATTCAGTCATCTTTATATAGTTATGTCATGAATATCCCAATGTAGCCAAACATAAAGTGATGGCAAGATTCTTTAGAAAAATAATTGATGGAGATTAATAGATTTTGTATAACATGCAGACAGGATTTTTCAGGAAGCCTCAAAAAAAAAAAAAAAAGAAGGCTCTCAAATAGATTTAAAAGACAAACCCATTTTCAAAAATTCTCAGATAAAATTAAGTTTCAGTTCTCTGTAGATTTTAGTTTATTACCCACTTTAGAAAATCTAATCTGTGATCTAGGAGGAAAGTGTTTTATTCTATTGTATTTCAATATTAGCACTTCTCTATTTCTCTGACAAAGCCATATTATCACATTAAAGACCAAATGTCATAAAGTGTTTGTGAAAAAAAAGTTTATAAAAAATTAGTATTTCTAAATAATATAAGAACTAAGAAAATAAATAGAATGATAAACATTGGTATTGGGTAGTAAAGTTTTAAAAATTTTAAGATTATAAAAATTCACATTACTGCTCCTCAAATGAGCCTATTTTTTATCATAACTTGCTCCTTTGCTGAAAAATCGAGGTTTTTTTCATGAAACGTATTTAATATAATAATACCTAACTCTTCCTTTTTCATCCTCTTACGTAGGCTTTGACAACCATGAAGCTTTTCATTCTCACCTGCCTTGTGGCTGTTGCTCTTGCCAGGCCTGTAAGTTTAGCAGAGAATTTAGAAAGTTTTAGATTCTTGTTAGAAATGACCGGATACTCTGACACTACATCAAACATGGGATACTCAGAGCAATAATCTTAAAGCAATGGATGATCTCTAATTAGCCTCTGCAGTCATAGACATGCCATAATGCTTCACATTTTCATAATGATTATATAGTCCACTGAGAGCTTTAACTGTGAATAAAATATCTGACTTGAATTATAAGCACTCCACAATAAAAAAGAACTAAAAATTTAAAAATGAGAAAAAGAATAAATAAGGTAGTGCACAACATAATAAATGGCATCAAACAATGTGTTTAGGGTTATTTCTTGAGTTTACTACAGAATTATGATATTTCTAAAAATGTAGGGGTCCAAAGCGGCTCCGGCCGGATGTCATGGTGCTTGTGAAGGTGAGGTCATGAGTTCAAGGCTCACACTGATTGGCAAAAAATATATATATATATATATATATATATATAATAGTTGCCCAACATTTCTTTACTAAATATAACACAGAGCAATATGTTCCAATGTATCCTACTTTAGGAACCAAAATCAAACCCTCATTTGAGAATGGCTTGTGTCAACCTTTTTCCCCCTCACAAGGAATAGAAAACTGGGGTGATTCAACTGATTGATTGATCAGTTTATTGTGGTCCCTGTGGACAATGAAACTAGGTAGTATGAATTAAAATTACCTTTCTTCTCAAAAAAAAAAGAATGTTTATATCAATTAGATACTTACATGAACCAAAAAGTTTCTCTGTTCTCTTGTTATGTTTTAGTTAATAAATGAGAAGAATAAACAGAAATTACCTGACTAGAAAAAAAAAATCAGTTTAGAGGGATGATCTGGGATATTTGAACACTAAAATTATCTCATACAGAAGCAAAATTTCGGAAATGCTACTATAGTCTGTTGTTTGCACTGACAGACTTGTTCTCTAGATTCCCCTTTGGAAAGTGCTGAAACAGTAATTGTCAACTTCTGAACCAATAGCCTTTATTTATGCTATAATCAATAGAAAGAAATTTCTGCTTGAAAATTACCAAAACGATGATAAAACTTCTTCAGGAATGAATCATCTGAGTAGTTCTTATCTTGTCATTTTAACAGAAGTGGGGAAAAGCAGCCCAGAAAATAGATGCTACACCTTTATTCCAAAGGAAACAATAGGGTTCTTGTATTTGTTTGTTTATGCCACTGTTCAACCTGAAGTCTTAACTCCAAGCTCAAAATGCACATTGAGATCAATTTTCATATAAGTTAAGGGATGATAAAAATAAAATCTAGACAAACATTTAAATTAGGAAACTATATTTTTCATATTTTTCTATTATGTATCGTGGTTTAAAATAATCTGTAGAAATATGATGTAATATAAATAGTTCAGAAAACTAAACAAATTATTTATTATTCTGGATTAATTTAAACTAATCCAGAATCTTTACTCTTTAAAGATGTTTTACAGTTTTCTCAATTCCCAGCCATAATCTAAAGCAAGAAAATGATTAAACTATTTTCCTTTGATATTTGCCTATAAAATCACTATGGTTTCTTTATTTTCTTTCTTTTTTTTTTTTAATTGTTACTCCCAGAGAAACTTGGTCTCTGACAGATTTTGCTATTAAAAAACATATCTTTTGAAAATAGCAGTGTCAAAATTCATCTTATTATATGTGGATTATTACATTGTTACTGTCATTTTAGTTACTTTTGTTTTACAATTATTCCATTGTCTTTCACAGAAACGGCCTCTTAGATATTTAGAACTCCTTCAATTAAATTGTCTGCATTCCAAGAACTCAAACTATGGAGCATATTCTCCAAATGTGCTTTTCCCTTTCTATGAAACAGCCGTTTCACTTTTGCTGACATACCATTTCTTTAGTTCAAGAACTGCCAGATGTTATTTGCCCTCACTAAACTAAGAGAGTGGCGCATGGACTTACATTTATGTTAATAATAATCTTATTTTTTATTCAAGAGAAATAGTTAAATAAACTGAATATGTAAACATGTTTATTTTAATGTATTCTTGCTTTCCTTCAGTGGTACACAGACTCAGTTATGTGATTTACAATGTGGTCTCATTTTATATGTTGAATCTTGAATAAGTTACCTCTACCACAACTTTCTGTGAGCACAATTAATCCTCCATTCTGTCGCACAACTAGACTAATACTATTTAAAAATTATTATTTCTTACAGAAGCCATCAGAGAGCAGTGAGGTAAGCTCTCTTTATGGGTAGTCAAGATTCTCTCTTTCTTTGCTCTCTGTCATTCAGTTAGCTGTCATGAATATTGAATGTCTTCTTCATTACAATATTTATTTCCCTTCAAACACATCCAACAACTCAAGTACCTGGATTGCTCTCTCAATTCTGTTATGATGAAATTCCTATTCAACTTCTTAGTCATTTTGGTAAGCAGAGACTTACTAAATTTCCTGGCCTGGTAAAGAAGGCCTGGTGAATTAAGGTGTAGGTGTCCTTTAGAGTTTAGAATTAGATCATAAAACTAAAACTAATTATTTGTGCCTCTACCTAAGAAATATGTTGCTTTACCAAATTAAATGGAGCACTTATGTTCAAATTGGAATAATGTGGGGGTTTTTTGGTATGTTTATTATTTTTATAATTCACAATTCAATTTCAATAGGAAATCAAAGAAAGAAAGTTTCTCAGACTTGATCTAGTAAGTGTTATCCATTGATTCTTAGAAAATCATACTTTCTGGGGAAAAAATATTTAATTTTATTTACAAAAATGTTTTTTCACTGGGTTGCAGTGGCTCACACCTGTATTCCCAATACTTTGGGAGGCTGAGGCAGGAGGATTGCTTGAGCCCAGGAATTTGAGACGAGCCTAAGCAACATAACCAAACTCTGTCTCTACAAAAAAAATTTGAAAAAAAATAATAGTAATCTGAGGTGGTGACATGCACTTGCTGTTCCAGCTACTTGGGAAGCTAAGGTGCAAGGGTCACTTGAGCTTGGGAAGTCAAAGCTGCTGTCAGCCGTGATAGCACCTGGGAAACAGAGCAAGAAATTGCCTAAAAAGAAAGATTTTTTTTTCTTAAGTTGATCAGCACTTCCCATCATTCAATCACCCAAATGCCCAGAAAGAACATAGAAATCAGATACTGCATATATTAAAGAGCCACTTTAAATTTTAATTTGTACCTAAACGTTTGCCTCTCCAAAACACTCTGCTGCATACTTTCCATGGTATGCAGAGGTTTACAATTTCCATATTCCTTATAATAGAATGCTCTTAACTATAAATAATACCTATATGTGTCATATTCTCTGTAATTTTTGACTTAATTGTTGAATAGAAGAATATCACATTTTAATTCAAGGGCACTATCTAAATTTGATGGATATTTGATGGATAAGTATAAACAAATTTTAACATAACTTTTGTTTTTATTTTTTATAGCCTACACCATTAGAGTTAAGAGAGGTAAGAATAACTTGACATGTTATACAATACGATTAACAAAGAAAAGCAAGTGTTAAGATCAGGAGACTCAGAACAGTGCCTAAAACAAAGTGAAAGTCAAGAATAACAAGTTTGAGTGGAAAAAATTTAAAAATATTGTCAAGTGCATATTTATATACTAGCCCTACACAAAGACAGTGAAGAGAAAGACTAACTAAAGGTTAGGAATGACATAAAAGAAATATTTGTTCATTCATGAAAAGTAGATTTATTTTTAAATTTATATCAGTACTAATTAATTCTGCTGAGAATTCTAAAGACTACTGATTTCATTGACTTAATTGTGCAGTGGGAAAGACAACTTAAGGTTAGAAATAATATGATAAGAAATATTAGTTCATTTGTGAAAAAGAAACTGATTTTTAAATTTGTATCAGCACTGTGTGGAGTAGTTTCTCATAGAGTTTCACTCACTTATGCATTGTTTCACTAATATTGTTTATATCTTATTTTTTATCCCTAAGGAATACATCAATGGTATGAACAGGGTAAGAAACATTAATGAAATTTAAATTATTTTAAAAGTTTGTCTTTATATAAACATATTTTATAAGCTACCCTTTATTAATTTTAGCAGAGAAAAGTTCTGAGAGAAAAACAGAGTGATGAAATCAAGGTACCAAAGTTATTCTTCAAAGAGTATGGCAAAAGTATATATTCTTGTAGTAGAAAAAAATGTTTTCATTAGGGAAAAAATTATTTTTCTATGTTTTTTTCCTTTCCTTGAACTTTTCACTCACAACTTTGTAGTGAGTAATGAATTCTGCTGAGAATTCTCAAGATAATTATTTCATTGACTTAATTATGTAACTGTGATGAAACAAGGCCTTAGTGTGGTTAAATGAATGAACAATAACAAAAAAAAAAAAACAAATAAATGCAATTATGTGTTCACAGTTATCACCAGAATGAAGTGAGTGTCTTATCAATGGTGTTATGTGAAGTAATACAGTATCTGGCTCAAGAATATTTACATAGTCATCCTCAATTATTTTCTTTAAACATAACATCTTTGATTTGAATTGTCACTAGTTTTTTAGTAGAATTGGTATTGGGAGAGCAGGTGCTCAAACTTTATGCAATAAAAAACACTTCTTCATAGCAATGTTTCGTACCTGCCTGGTAGACTGTCTTGGCAGAATAGTAGGAATGAATCTGTTGAGGTGAGATCTTTTGTTTTAAAATTATTAAACCAACACGAGGAAAAGAAAGAAAACATATTTCCCAAAATAAATTATTGTCTTAAATGAAAACTATGACAGATAAGTCTAATTTAAAGAAAGAAAAGATGTGCTGTATCATACGTTGGCCAGAATAACTAAACCAACAGAAATATTTTGAATTTAAATTCTTTCGACAAACTGACACAAGAATAGAAAATGAAACACCGCATATTCTCACTCATAGGCGGGTGATGAAAAATGAGAACACATGGACACAGAAAGGGGAGTACTAAACACTGGGGTCTATTGGGGGGAAAAGGGGAGGGCCAGTGGGAGGGGGAGGTGGGGAGGGATAGCCTGGGGAGAAATGCCAAATGTGGGTGAAGGGGAGAAGGAAAGAAAAGCACACTGCCATGTGTGTTCCTACGCAACTGTCTTGCATGCTCTGCTCATGTACCCCAAAACCTAAAATCCAATAAAAAATTAAAAAAAAAAAAGAAACGTTCTGGAATTAGATAGTGATGACAGTTGCATAACTTTGTGAATGTACTAAAAAACACTGAAAATAAAAATTCAGCATTTTTTAAAAATAAAAAATAAATTCTTTCGATATGTCACCGCTCTCTGTAGTACTGTAGTCATGAAAACTGAGTACAGCATACTAGATGGAGCCAATTCATTTGCTTAGGTGCTTACACACCATTGAGTCAGTGCTCTCCTTCAGTCCAGTTGTATTTACTGCATGAGCTTCAGTGCAGTGTTTGGCTCAGTGTCCAGAAAGCCAAATTTAAAAAGAAGGAAAACAAAAAGTCATGCTGGATAAAGGAAAATGTAAACTTGTTTTCATTAATTTCCTACAATACAGAAGAATCCAAAATGTTTTATTTAAACTTCAAAATGCAGATTCAGTTAGCTCAGAGATAAAGTAGGCAGGTTTCTTCATTTTTCTTATTACTTTGATATTGTCTCAGTTTTCTGTTTTCTTTGGCATCCATTTTATTTGGTAGTCATTAGTTTTGTATTTGACTATTTGTAATGAAAAATAAAATTAACTGTCCTTTCTTTCCTCAGAATCGTATTATGGCAGAGCCTGAGGTAAGACCTGTCTACTCTAGTGAACTCTACACTTAGGTATCATATATAGTATACACAGTGTACTTTATATTAAGAAGGTTGTCTTTTGAACTTAAGCAAGATAATATACTGAATTTTAAAATGTTAAAATCCTAATTTTAAATTAATTCCTTTCTAACTTTAGCTGGTTGAACTTCTAAAACAATAGTATTATACTCAAAAATGTACAATGTTGTGCTAGATAAAATTGAAATTGGAAGACCGAATTTAAGCCATTTAAATAATAATTAGTAAAAATATTGCTTATTCATTCAAATACAAAAGAAAAACAAAAGATCCATGAATGTTTAAAATTAGACTCCAACAGAACACTGACTCTGACATCCTAGGGCATGAAATTACTCTTTTATTTAAGATACAAGGGTATATATAAAATTTTTACATGATTATGTGAGACACAAGAAGTGAGCATATTACCCCATAGGTATAGGTTGGTGCAAAAGTTATTGTGCTTTTCGCCATTAAAAATAATGGCAAAACTCTTAGGTTTGTGTGAAAAAGCAATTGCAGTTTATAAAAAGTAATGGCAAAAACCGCAACTACTTTTGCACCAACCTAATGCTTTGTCACCCCACGCCCTCTCCCTCTCCTTGGGCAGAAAGAATCTGTTGCAGCAATTACCTAGGATCAGTGAGTTACACTACCTTCTCTACAGTTATGTTTTCTAAAATGCTGACTTATTACATGTGGTTAACCAACCCTTCCCAGAGGTCAAGTCTCCTGAATATTAAAATTAATCTTTTAATTTATGTACATACTTATATCTATGTGCTTGGGAAGTAAAATTATATGTATATATAAATATAAGCATAAAGGATTTCAAGAAACAGTAAATATTTTAAAAGCTAATGTAATTTTAGCTCCATCTTAAGAATACGTATTATATTTAATGTCACTATTTTATTCACATCCAAGAATCTCCAATGGGAGATAAGAATAGATGTTTAACCCAGGATTATGGGTACCCAGTTCAATATGGCTCTTTATTAGAAGTTTCATTTTTGTCACAAAAATCAGTGTCAATTTTGTATTTTACTCAGTGATAAACCTGCATTTGTTTTTCTCAATTAAAAACTATTATTATTAAGTTTTTATGTTCATAGATAAGTTATTAAACATACCACCACAATTTTTCAAGTAAAATTGACACTCCAAAAATATACAATGTAGTAGGCCTGAATTTTTCCATACCACTTATTCAATTCCAATGTTACCATGGTAAGCATTTCACCGTGATGATATAGAACTAGCTTCCTTAAAATTCTAAAAATCCCAGGGGATAATTAACACTAGTTTTCTTTCTTTCAGCAGTCAGAATCTAGCACCAGTTCATCAAGTGAGGTAAATAATTTTGATATTAATTCAGTGGCTCAATTACTTTTAAAAATTATGAAAACTTGTACTGTGAGGATTACATATTTCATAAGGTCTGATTGTACAAGGCGGTGTACATGTGGCACTATTGTAGTTTTAGTATGTGGTTTGCTATCCAAAAAATGTAAGAAAGCAATTGTTTGTCAGAGACAAATTTACAAAATTATTTCTGGGCAAACAATCTTACCTGGCCATCTGTGATGTCCAAATTAATTTTATTCACTAATTATTTTGTCCTTCACAGATTTTGTTAAAACTCAATCTTGTCATTAAAAATTCTAACAATTACCATACTTCCAAACCAATGAGGTAAAGATTTCAAAAGCTGTTTAGAATTCAAACAATTGTAGGTTAATCAGACACTGGACTCTTCCAATTACTCTCCACCCTTTGCCCCTTGTTAATCTTGCCCCTGTAATCAGAAAAAAAGGTTGGCATACATAAAAAGTGGTATGCTTTTTCCTTTGACTTTGGGAGAAGACCTTCAGTCAAGTTGCCAAAATAAAACCAACTCAGTTAAGTAGGTTTTCTGTTAATTAAATAAAAATCATTACTTCACATCCATCCCAGTATTTGGAACAATGTACTGGTTAAAGCAGTGAGAAAAGCAAAAGCATGTGATTATAATATATGCTTCAAATTATTAATCTTGTCTCAGTTATTTCAGAATTTACCACTAAAATCAATTTACTGCAGTTATTTAGTAATAGTTTGGTTGATTCATATTTTAACATTAAATATAAATTAATGTCATCAAATTAAAACTATGCATGATTTTATTTTTTAAAGGAAATTTCTCTCAGTAAGCCTGAGGTAAGATATATCTGCCAAATTTAAAATGTATTAAGTTTGTCCAGGATAAATTTAAATGCACTTACTTTCATTCACACACGCATACACCCCTTCCGAGTGAAGACATGCTAAACCAATGGAAAAATTTGTTATCTGGAAAAATCGCATTAAAGATTTATCAAAGGCAAATATACAAGAATGAGTGAGACTGTTATATTAATAAATTATTTCTCCTTTTCAACATCTGCTAGATATTATTGTAAGTAGTCTAATGGAATATAAATGCTTTCTTATTCCTCTCTAGAAATAAACTATTTTTATCCTAGGTATCTAATTCACACTTTCAGTTGAATATTTGCATTTTATAGTTTCCTTTTGAATCTGCATAGTATTTACGTGGCAGTCTATAGATTCGGTTATACTTGATTTTGACTCAAAGCTCTACCTTTTATACATATGTGATGTTATGGCAATAATAATAAATATCAGATTATGTAAAGTCATTAATACAATCCATGACACATAGTAAACTGTCAATAAATGTTGGATGTTAGAAAAATTATTTTTCCCTGTTCATCTAATATTCTAATCTAATTTGATCAAAGTTAAGTCTTCATAGTCAAAATCCAAAAATACAGCTTCAGTTTTCTTAATAATTCTGATATACAATAAATAAAATTGACTGGTACTAATTTACATCACACAGAATTATAATTTAAACTCAAGAAGTTGCTTTTTAAAATGTTTTTAAAGGGGAATAATAGAACAGGTTTAAATTATTTGTGGTAGAAATAACACTCAGGTAGGCATAATAGTTCCCTGTTCTCTACCCTTGGGAAAGTGCATTGAAGATTCTTGTTTTATTATATGAAAACGATGGGGTTGGACTGAATGACATCCAAGCAATTGCGAATATTTTTCTTTTTAAATAGAAGCAGTTTCGTAGACTGAACAAATACAACCAACTTCAGCTGGTAATATTTTATTCAATATAATACAAAACCATATTCAACTATAAAATTAAAACATTGAATTGTAAATTCAGACCACTTCTAGATACATTTCCATTTTTCTTAAGAAATTATTTATTCTAGCTTTGACCAATAATGGGCAAATTGTTTATATGATTGCCTGCATATTTGCTTGCAAAGCTTATTCTCTTTATGCCTTCACTAAAGTCGTATATCTTATCCGTAAGTACGAACCAAGGAGAAACTGACGATATTCTACCACAAATCTTTTATCCTCCCCGATGATACATTATATTTAAGAATTTATGGTGTGAATATTTTCAAAAATTCAGACCTGGTTGAGAATTTTATAAATATGCTTACCTGTGAAATCACATAAATGTCAAACTTTCCATTTAAGGAAACAGTATAGACCCTAGGAAAGGAATCAGGAATGCTACACATCAGATTTGCTTCTGTCAAAACTCACATAATCTGCTCATCACTGGTTCTGATCCTTTTGAAATACTTTGTTCTAATATGGCAAAATTACGAATTAGCATTTTTAATCTGTCATCAATAGGGGAAGATGAAAATCAATAATGAATTTAATTTGGACCGTAACTGTTATTCTAGTTTCCATTTTGAGGTTACTTGTGTTTGAAATAGTATCTAAATAGATTTAAACATATCAGTACCCCATAGAATTCATCATCACTAATCTAGGAAATTACCTGAATAATATATTTTAGTACCGTAGATATGATATAGATAGTCTGTAACCTCCACAACTATTAGAATCAACTGGTCCTCCTGAGAGGTTTTGTAGTATTTTATATTTGTATCTTCAGGATTTAACATTGTCCCTGAGCAAATGAAGGTACCCAGCAAATGTTTCTTATAAATGAGTAAATAAAATGAAAATACTAAAACAGAATGTTTTCTCTTCCCTAGCAAGCTCTCCATGCCCAGGTGAGATTATTTATTAAAACTAAAATATTTTAGTATTTCCTTCATGTGTTATGTTTTTATAATGCATGCTTCTTTTTTTAACAGAAATATATTCCAAGAGAGAGAGCATTCTACCAACCCTGTCTGGTAAAATTTCATTTAAAATTTGCCAAATATAAAATTTAAATAATTAATTAATAGCCATGAATAGAAAATATGTAGTCCTAAAGAAGTGGTAGGTTATTTTCCTCAGAGTATGAACCTTACACATTGTTTATTTTCCCAAACTATAGAGAGGTTAGCCCTTAGCTTAAACATTTTTCTAACATTAGAAAAAAAAGGATTTTGATATTTTTTGCTAATCTTCACACATAATACAGTCTACTCTAAATTTCATGGATGATGTTATGTATACTCCTGGCACAATGTAAGATAGATGTGTTGTACCAGAAGATGTCTAAGTAATTTAGAATGCATTTCCTTTTATGCAGGAGCGGGCTTGCAGAATGAGTGAAAACAGCCGTGTCCAAGTGGTAATATTTTGTTTAATATATTACAAAACAATAATATTTTGTTAAGTTTAAATATGTTTGCTCTTAAATAGCCCCCTACTCTTGAAGAGAATTTTTCTTCTCCGTCATTTCTCTCTCCCAATTTAAATCTCAGTTCTGACAACGTCTAATCATATGACCTTGAGCACATTGTGTATTTTCTTGGACCTTTCTTTTCTCATTTGTGGAGAAAAATAATATGTGCCTATCAATCTATTTCCTGCTCCAAAACTCCCATGTCTTGATCTTTACAGTGCTATTTTGCGTCTTCACATTTAAAGATAGCAACTGGATGTTTAATTCAGTGACTCTGTTCCATTAATAACTGGATTTATACACAACACAATATGCTAATTTTTTAAAAATGAAATCAACTATGTAAAGAAAGCCATGGAATTTCCCTTTGTATAAATGCAACTATAGAAAAATCCTTTTTGTTTCTTATAGTACATCAAATTTTACCTTCAATTTTATTTTTTTTTTTCAAATTCTGTAATCACTTTCACTGGCCAAAGTCAAAAGAAAATGAAGTATTACTTTTTTTTGGGCCCCAAATAGTTAACTGGTCTTAACTTTCCATGTAATTTATTATTATTATTATTATTTTGAGACAGAGTCTCACTCTGTCCCCCAGCTGTAGTGCAGTGGCAGGATCCTGGCTCACTGCCTCCCAGGTTCAAGCGATTCTCATGCCTCAGCCTCCTGAGTAGCTGGGATTACAGGCAGGCATTACCACGCCCAGTTAATTTTTGTATTTTTAGTAGAGACAGGCTTGTCTAAAACTCCTGACATCAGGTCATCTGCCCGCCTCAGCCTCCCAAAGCGCTGATATTATAGGCATGACCCACCATGTCAATGTAATTATTTTCAAAAATGAGTGTGACAACTATATATGCATTTATATATTATCTTATGAGGTGAAAGCTTCTATTTTGTAAGACAGAAACTTACTGCTTCTGTTTGCATTTTATTATATTCTTTTTCTTTAGTTTTTAAATTTACATAAAAAAATAGACTGACCAGGTTACTATCTGGAAAGTAAATATCACGAATTAACTGAGATCGTATTTAAATTACTACTTCACTTCATTAAATTTGTGATAAAATTTGTAATAATAAATTGTTGTTATCCAAGAAGCAGCTGCAAAGACAAATAAGAAAACAGAATAATATTATATTATCATATTATAATATGATTCACCACCCTTGTATTGTTTTAGTCTTTAACATTCATGGAATTTCCCTATAAAGGCAGTACTGCTTTTGATTTATTCTTTTATTATAGAAGGAGCCATGATAATGATTTCTAGTCAGTCTTTTTGACCTCCTTACTGCTTATAGCGGTGAGGCAATATGGGGATTAGTTCTGTGTGTATCTATTTAAACTATACTCTCAGGTTGGACATGGTGGCTTAAGCTTATAATTGTGGCTGATTAGATACATGATGTTATATTTAGAGAAACCTAAGGAACTCACTAAAAAAAAAACTATTAGAATTAAGAAATTCAGTAATGTTTCATGATACAAAATCAACATAGAAAATTCAGTAGCATCTCTATATGCCAACAGTGAACAATATAAAAAAGAAATCAAGTGAAAGTAATCCCATTTACAGTAGCTACAAATAAAATATCTATCAATACAGTTAGTCAAAGAAATGAAAGATCTTGACAATGAAAACTATAAAACATTGATGCAAAAAATTGAAAGAGACACACACAAAATATGGAATGACATTTAATGTTCATGAATCAGAAGACAGAATTTAAACCATTTAAATAATAAGTAGTAAAAATATTGCTTATTCATGAAAAGACAAAACAAAAACAAAAGGTGCATGAATGTTTAAAATAAGACTTTAACAGAACGCTTACTCCAACATCCCAGGGCATGAGATTACTCTTTTATTTAAGATACAAGTGTATGTGTGAAAGATTTTTGCATTAGTATATTAGGCACAGGTAGTGAGCAAGCTACCTAATAGATATAGGTTGGTGCAAATATTATTGTGCTTTTTGTCATTAAAAATAATGGCAAAACTCTTAGGTTGGTGCAAAAGTAATTGCAATTTTTAAAAACTAATGGCAAAAACTGCAATTAACTTTTACACCAACCTAATAGTTTGTCAACCCATGCCCCCTCCCTCTCCTTGGGCAGAAATAATCTGTTCCAGCAATTACCTGGGATCAATGAGCTACACTACCTACTCTACGAATCTATTTTTTAAAATGCTGACTTATTACATATGATTAACCCTTCCTAGAGATAAAGTCTGTTGAATATTAAAATTAATTTTTTATAATATGTAAGTACTTGGGAAGTAAAATTATATAGATATACAAATATAAACATAAAGGATTCTAAAGAAAAAATAAATATTTCAAAGTAAATATCTTAAAAGCTAATGTAATTTTAGTTTCATCTTAAGAATATGTATTATATTTAATGTTTGCATTTTATTCACATCAAAGAAGCTCCAACGGGAGATGAGAATAGACGTTTAACCCAGGGTTCTGGGTACCCAGTTAAATATGTTTTTTCATTAGAAGTTTCATTTTTGTCACAAAAATCAGTGTCAATTTTGCATTCTACTCAATGATAAACCTATTTGTTTTCCTAAATTAAAAACTATTGTTTAAAAGTTTTTATGTTCCCAGATAAGTTAATAAACATACCACCATAATTTTTCCAGTAAAATTGACACTCCAAAAAAATACAATGTAGTAGGCCTGAATTTTTCCATACCACTTATTTAATTCCAATGTTACCATGGTAAGCATTTCAACATGATGGTATGGAACTACTTTCCTTCAAATTCTAAAAATCCCAGGGGATGATTAACACTAGTTTTCATTCTTTCAGCAATCGGAATCTAGCACCAGTTCTTCAAGTGAAGTAAATAATTTTGATATTAATTCAGTGGCTCAATTAATTTAAAAAATTATGAAAACTTGTACTGTGAGGATTACATATTCCATAAGGTCTAATTGTACAAGGCGGTGTACATGTGGCACTATTGTAGTTTTAGTATGTGGTTTGCTATCCAAAAGATGTAAGGAAGCAATTGTTTGTCAGAGACAAATTTACAAAATTATTTCTGGGCAAACAATCTTATCTGGCCATCTGTGATTTCCAATTTTTTTTTTTAACAATTACTCTGTTCTTCACAGATTTTGTTAAAACTCAATTTTATCATTAAAAATTCTAACCATTATCATGCTTCCAAACCAATGAAGTAAACATTTCATAAACTATTTATAATGCAACCAATTTTAGGTTAATCAGACACTGGACTCTTCCAACTACTCTTCACCTTTTACCTTGTGTTAATCTGGAGAAAAAAAGTTGGCATACATAAAATGTGGTGTGGTTTTTCTTTTGACTTTAGGAGAAGACCTTCAGTCAAGTTACCAAAATAAAACCAACTTGGTTAAATGGGTTTTCTGTTAATTGAATAAAAATTATTACTTCGCATCCACACACAACATTTGGAGTAATGCACTAGTTAAAGCAGTGAGAAAAGGAAAAGCAATGTGATTATAATATATGCTTCAAATTATTCAACTTGTCTCAGTTATTTGGGAATTTATCCCTAATATCAATTTCCTGTAGTTATTTAGTAATAGTTTGGTTGAATCATATTTTAACTTTAAATGTAAATTAATGTCATAAAATTAAAACTATGCATATTTTTATCTTCTAAAGGAAACTACTCTCAGTAAGCCTGAGGTAAAATATATTTGCTAAATTTAAAATATATTAATATTTTCTGGGATAAATTAAAACACACTTACACACACACACACACACACACACACACACACCCTCCAAGTGAAGACATGCTAAACCAATGGAAAAATATGTTATCTGGTAAAATTTCATTAAAGATTTATCAAAGGAAAATATACCAAAAAAAGAGTGAGAATGTTGTATTGAAATTCTCTTTTTCAATATCTACTAAATTTTATTGTAAGTAGTGTGATGGAATCTAGATGGTTTCTTACTTCCCTCTAAAAATAAAACTAACAACTTTTTAAAATCCTAGATGTCTAATTCACACTTTCAGTTGAATATTTGTATTTTATAGTTTCCTTTTGAGTCTGCATAGTATTTAAGTGGCAGTCTATAGATTTGGTTATACTTGAATTCGACTCAAAGCTCTACCTTTTATACATATGTGATGTTAAGCAGTTCACTTTCCCAGTATAAATCTATAAATAAACCCTAAAATGGTAATGATAATAAATATTAGATGATATAAAGCAATTATTGCAATCCATCACACATAGTAAACTGTCAATAAATTTTGAATAATATTAGAAAAATTATTTTTCCTCTTCATCTAATATTCTAATCTAACTTGACCAACTTAAATTTTCAGAGTAAGAAAACAGAAAAAACAGTTTTAATTTTCTTAATAATTCTGATATACTGTAACTAAAATTAGCTGATACTAATTTATATCAGACAGAATTGTGTTTTAAATTCTAAAAGTTGCTTTTTAAATGTTTTTAAAAGGTAATAATGGAAAAAGTTCAAATTATTTCTGGTAGAAATAGCACTCAGGTAGGCATAATAGCTTCTCATTCTCTAACTTTGGGAAAGAGCATGGTAAGAGTCTTGTTGTATTATATTAAAATGATGGGGTTGGATTGAATGACATCCAAGCATTTGAGAATAATTTTCTTCTTAAATGAGAACAGTTTTGTAGACTGAACAAATACAACCAACTCCAGCTGGTAATATTTTACTCATTATAATACAAAATCATATTCTACTATAAAATTAAAACAAATTTTAAATCGAGGCCACTTCTAAGTATATTTCTATTTTTCTTAAGAAATTATTTATTTTAGCTTTGACCAATAATGGGAAAATTATTTATATGATTGCCTGAATATTTGCTGGCAAAGTTCATTCTGTTTATGCCTGTACTAAAGCTGTATATCTTATCCATAAATACTAACCAGGGAGAAAGTGCCTATACTCTACAGCAAATCTTTTAACCTCCCTGATGATGCATTAAAATTAAGAATTTGCAGTGTGTTTATTTTTGCAAATTCAGACCTGGTTGAGAATTTTATAAATATGCTTACCTGTGATATCACAGATATGTCAAATTAACTTTCCATTTAAGGAAACAGTATAAACACTAGGAAAGGAATCAGGAATGCTACACATCAGATTTGCTTCTCTCAAAACTCACATAATCTGCTTATCACTGGTTTTGATGCTTTTGGGTATCGTAAAAGCCTTTCTTTGGGAGGACAGTAAAAAAACCTTTCAGTTACTGTAAATAAATTTGACTTAATAAAGATTTTGTGAAATGCTTTGTTCCAATTGAGCAAAACCACACGTTAGCATTTTTAATCTGTTATCAATAGAGGAAGATGAAAATCAAGAATGAATTCAATATGGATCCTGTTACTTTAGTTTTCATGTTCAGGTTACTTGTGTTTAAGATAATATCTAAATAGATTTAAACATATCAGTACCCCAATAGAATTCATCATTATTTATCTAGAAAATTACCTGAATAATATATTTTAGTACCGTAGATATAATGTAGCTAGTCTGTAACCTCCACAACTATTAGAACCAACTGGTCCTCCTGAGAGGTTTTGTAGTATTTTATATTTGTATCTTCAGGATTTAACATTGTCCCTGAGCAAACGAAGGTACCCAGCAAATGTTTCTTATAAATGAGTAAATAAAATGAAAATACTAAAACAGAATGTTTTCTCTTCCCTAGCAAGCTCTCCATGCCCAGGTGAGATTATTTATTAAAACTAAAATATTTTAGTATTTCCTTCATGTGTTATGTTTTTATAATGCATGCTTCTTTTTCCAGCAGAAATATATTCCAAGAGAGAGTGTGTTCTACCAACCCTATCTGGTAATATTTTATTTAAAATTTGCCAAATATAAAATTTAAATAATTAATTAATAGCCATAAATAGAAAATACATAGTCCTAGAGGAGTGGTAGGTTATTATTTTCCCCAGAGTATGAACGTTACACATTGTTTATTTTCCCAAACTATAGAGAGGTTAGCCCTTAGCTAAAAGATTTTTCTAACATTAGAAAAGAAAGGATTTTGATATTTTTTGCTAGTCTTCACACAGAATACAGTCTATTCTAAATTTCATGGATGATGTTATGTATATTCCTAAGTAATTTAGAATGCATTTTCTTTTATGCAGGAGCAAACTCACAGAATGAGTGAAAACAACCATGTCCAACTGGTAATATTTTGTTTAATATATTACAAAACAATAATATTTTGTTAAGTTTAAATATGTTTGCTCTTAAGTAGCCCCCTACTCTTGAGGAGAATTCTTCTTCTCAGTCATTTCTTTCTCCCAAATTAAATCTCAGTTCTGACAACGTCTAATCACATGACCTTGCACACACTGTGTATTCTCTTGGACCTTTCTTTTCTCTCTTGTGGAGAAAAATAATATGTGTCTATCAATTTATTTCCTGCTCCAAAGCTCCCATGTCTTGATCTTTACAGTGCTATTTTGCATCTTCACATTTAAAGATAGCAACTGGATGTTTAATTCAGCGACTCTGTTCCATTAATGACTCAATTTATATACAACATGCTAATTTTTTAAAAAATGAAATCAACTCTGTAAAGAAAGCCATGGAACTTCCTCCGTATGACTGCAACAATTAAAAAAAAAACATTTTAGTTCCTCATAGTACATCAAATTTTACCCTCAATTTTACTTTTTTCTCAAGCTCTGTAATCACTTTCACTGGTCAAAATGAAAAGAAAATAAAGGCAAGTATTCCCTTCATTTGGGCCCCAAAGAGTTAATTGGTCTTAACTTTCCATGTAATTATTATTATTATTATTATTATTATTTTGAGACAGAGTCTTGCTCTGTCACCCAGCTGGAGTGCAGTGGCAGGATCCTGGCTCTCTGCCTCCCGGGTTCAAGTGGTTCTCATGCCTCCTGAGTATCTGGGATTACAGGTAGGCATCACCACGCACAGTTAAATTTTTATTTTTAGTAAAGACAGGTTTTCATCACATTGGGCAGGCCTGTCTAAAACTCCTGACCTCAGGTGGTCTGCCTGCCTCAGCCCCACAAAGTGCTGAGATTATAGGCATGACCTACCACATCAATGTAATTATTTTTGAAAAGACTGTGACAACCATATATACATTTTTCATATTAATGAGGGTTTGGAGTAGCAATAATTTGACCTATCATTGTGTTCAGTGGTTGTAAATTACTAAACTAGGGCCTTTGTTTTGTGCTGCTATAGCACAGGACAGATTGAGTAATTTATAATGAACAGAAATTTATTTATGTTAACAGTTCTGGAAGCCATAAGTCCAAGATTGAAGGGCCACGGTATCTGTCAAGCAAGGGCCTTCTTGCTGCATTATTTCATAGTTGAAGAGAAAAAATACAGAACAGAGGGTCAAACTCAGTCATAACAAGCTCACCCTTGCAATGATGAGGCCACTCCTGTGATAATAGCATTAAGTGAGAGCAGAGAGCAGAGCCCTTGTGAACTAATCACCTCTTCAGGGTCCCACCTCTCATCACTGTTGCATTGGCTGTTAAGTTTCCAACACATGATCTTTAGAAAACACATTAAAATTATAGCAACTTCTCTCTCTCTCTCTCTCTCTCTCTCTCCCTCCCACCCCCCGTCTCTTTCTTTCTGTCTCTCTATTAAGGAACACAGCCAGCTCTATCTTGAGGTGAGTTACCTTATTTCATCTTAAAAATAATCCAAATGTCATATTTGTTTTAATCTTTACATAGGCAGGTGTCCATAGCAAAACTTGAAATGTTTTAAAGGTGTTTCCTAATTCCAGCAAAGAACATGCACCTAAATATGTAGAGAATTATATCCAACTGTTTCTAAGTACAATTCAATTATTGGTACATAAAAACAATTAAGTGTAATCTTACAAATCAATAGAGGCAACTATTCCAAAATTTTATAAAGGAAAATAGTTTGGGCTCCAAAACTCTACTGTTTGTAAAGAACACTATGCTTGGAATTGAATTATTTTCTTTCTATTCCTGGCATTTCTGAAAGTCAGCTATGGTAACCCTGGGTACAGGGCCTGTCCTTTGACCCCAGTGGCTTTAAAGAAAATTATAGATCAAAATGTCAAAAATATCTATGAGTTTTTAAAGTAAATAATTGTGAAATGTAGGTTGCTACTCTATTCTGGGCTCTGAGAAGTGAACCCGTGAGAAATGTGGGTTCTTGGAGTTCAGTTTTAAATAGCGTCCTTAAAAAAGTGATTTACTCATTCCCCGTCAGATACCTTAAAAGAGCACCTTCTGAAACTTTCTTCAACATGGTTCACCATAGAAGATTTTAATTTCTTCTTTTCCCTCACAGCGTAATCATTTTTTGTGTCGCCAACAGGCATCTTGGAAATGAATGAAATGTATTAATATTTTCCAGAGATTGAAAACAGATTACTCACACACTGTCGCTTTTCTAATGTCTTTCCCTCTCGCCTTTCCAACAGCTCAACCAACCTGCTGCCTACCCCTATGCTGTTTGGTACTATCCACAAATCAGGCAGAATCTTCCTTTCCCACCATTTTCCGACATCTTCAGTCCCATCGCCCCTGAGAATTATGAAAAAAACTAATGTCATGCTGTAGTGGTGGTAAGTTCATTTAAATTACTACATCTTGAAATTCTACCAAAGGAAATAAAATAGCTTAGAGATAATACCATAAGAACAGCTTAAGATTAAATATGGCAAATCAACACCTACTGCAAAGGACTAATATTTTCTCAAATCAAAAATTGGTAATATTTTCTGTCACCTGTGGTAATACTCACCAATTTCCTAGTAACATGTGGAGCAGTATTATCTATTCTATAAGTGAAATTTATTCTAATGAGGGGAGAAAACAACTTCTCTTCAAGTTAAAAATGTAAAGCCTTCTAACATGTAATTTAACAATATCCTTTTTGCACTTTTACTAATGTTTAAGTGACTTCCTTCTGGTTATACCTATGATAAATACAAAAATTCTGGGTAGGTAATGTAGCTCATATTTTAGTACTCAGTACTAAATTCAAATCCTAATCTTTCTGCTTACTGGAAACTTTCTAACAATCCTTATTTGTTATAACCCTGGGGGCGGTCAAATATAGTAATCTTTGTTAGTATATTGTGGGCAAAATAAACACTGAACTGGTAGAAGTTGACTTTTCTTCAGAAAAACTTTACTGCTGACTTCCTTTAATCACATGACTATAACAACTTTTGTTCTTTCAGAAGTATCAAGTCACTTCTCAGGAACGCCACAGATATGGCCCTTGGTAAGTTTGGAAATTATGTGTCAAACCATGATCTTATTTCTTATGATCAAATAGACACGCTTAAAAAGTCGCATAGTGAAATCAAGTGTTTGTCAACACCAGTTAAAAAAGTCTATAAGTTTAATTATTTTCATCCACTACATTGGTGCTTCTAATTATGTGTGTGTGTGAGTGTGTGTGTGTGTGTGTGTGTGTGTGTGTGTGTTTCCTTTTCCAAATGGGGAAACTTCCCTTCTAATAGATTAAACCAAGGATAGTGATGAACTCTAACCTATGTGAAAGCCTTTTACTCTAATTGCCTTGCCATATCTTCAATGATACCACAAAAAATACAATTTAGTAACAAAATTGTCTTTATAGCTTAAAAACCAAGAGCCATGGATATGTAGATCAGTTAGAGGAAAGCATAAATAACATTGTGAGCTTGTCTAATATGAAGAGACAATAGTAAAATATGTTCTATCATAAGAGGTTCTCTTTTCCTCAAAAATATTTAATAACATTAACCACATATTTCTATTTCTATTTACAGATATGACTGAAAATTTCATTGTCTGAATTTCTCCTATCATGGAAAATCATCTTATCTGAAGGCTTTGAGTGTTGTTTTAGAATAGCAAACTCCCATATTGAAGGAAATTGTTCCTCTTATGTTCTCTACTTAATAGAATATCATTCTCTTTCTAAAGCTAAATTTTCTGATTTTATTGTCTAAATTCCAATTGTGTCATGCCATATTGAGGGCACCTGATTAGAGGGTATTAAACTCTTTACTAAGTTTCTCTAATAGAAACTTTGTTTAAAAAGTCTTTGAATTGCCTATTCTGTAAGTGCCATCATTTCAAATAATTGTGTGCAGTGACTGAGATTGTTTGGTTTTTGCTTTACAATAAATTATACTTTAAGGCACAATCAATATTTTCTGTCATTATTTGGTTCAGCAGTATTTACATAATCCTGTTAAGAGTCTTTGTAGGTAACATTTTGTTTTCTTTAAATTAAAATCCTATTTTCTGTCATTATTTCATCACCAGTATTTACATAATCCTGCTAAGAGTGTAACGTACATAACATTTTGTTTTCATTAACTTTTTATGACACTTTGAATTACATTTTAATGAAGATTTTTAGAACTGTTTACTTCTGGCTATCTCTAGTAGCAGATCACAAAAGGCATTTGTAAACTTTTCCAGGATCTTTAATTTAAAGTCAGTGGTTTGTAGAACATTTTCCATGAGGGCATAGTCAGACCTGCAGAGCGGAACAACACTGTGGCAGTGGTGGGCACACTAGAAGTCTGATCAACCTGATTATGTAGTTTACTTATGCCATCTGGACCTGTTTAAGTCCAATCCAGTTGATTATACCTAAGTTTATAGCTAGAAAAATAGATAATAACCATTGAAAGATCAGCTCAGGAATACAGTAACTTGGTGTCCATGGTGAGCTATTCGGTGTCCTCCAGAGCCAAAGTAGGAATTATTTCTCAAAATAAAAATAGTGACTTGTTCTCATATTTTCAAAGCACCAGATGAGGTTTACCCATCAAGGTTTGCTCCAAAATCCCCACACAAATATCTTTAATGAACCATTGGATCCACTAGATTATAACAAACAAGTGATAAAGGTTCTCACCCCATAGCCTAGGCCATCGAGATAGATATTAGATGCTCGGTATTCTAAGAAATTTACATATGTTAGTATTCTACTACATATATAGAGTGTAAAATAATAATGTATTCTATATACATGAATAGCATATTCAGAACACTCTTTTATGTGTGTGTGTGTGTGTATATATATGTGTGTGTGTGTGTGTGTATATATGTGTGTGTGTGTGTGTCTGTGTGTATGTATAAACATATAACACCCAAAAACATATTTTATGACTTAAAAAAATTAGCATTGAGTCCCCTGCCTTCTCTCTATGTTAGGAAGTAAAAGGAGAAACAACTCGTCTTCTGATCTAGAGAAAGCCTGTCAAAATACTCAGACTACTGGGTCTGCAGGAAATTAAAGGAGGAGGCAGGCTCCTGCATCTTCATAAAATATATCTCCCAGCTTCTGTCATCAGTCACTTCCCAAGGCACCTAGGGTATTTTATACATCTTCCTTTATGAATCCATAGAAATAAATCATCAATTTCATACATGCATGGTGACTCATGGGATGGTAAGAAAGTCATGTGTTTTTTTTTAAACTAAATTGTAATGTAAGACTGTCCTTGAAACTATCCCATAAGGTGAAAGTCTCTATTTTGTTAAGGCAGAAACTTACTGCTTCAGTTACTATTCTATCATATTCTCTTTCTTTAGTTTTTAAATTAGAATGGAAAAATGCATTGACCAGGTTACTGTCTGTAAAGTAAATACCATGAATGAAATGAGACCCCATTATTTAAAGTATTACCTGCAATAGGTTATCACAACTTCACTAAATTTGTAATAATCCATTGTTATTATCCAAGAAGCAACTGCAAAGGCAAATAAGAAAACAGAGTAATATTATAATATGATTCACCACCCTCGTATTATTTTAGTCTTTAACATTCATGGCATTTCCCTATAAAGGCAGTGCTGCTTTTGATTTATTATTTTGTTATAGAAGGAGACCTGATAATGATTTCTAGTCAGTCTTTTTGACCTCCTTACTGCTGACAGCTGTGAGGCAATATGGGGATTAGTTCAATGTAAACCTATTTATACTCTCAGGCTGGGCTCAGTGGCTTATGCCTGTAATTGTGCCTGATTAGATATATGATGCTATAACAGGAACTTTGTTATAGGTCTTATATTTTTCTCTTCAATCAAGGAATATGAATTCATAACTCCTTCTTATTTAGAAATTGGGAGGTCAGAGGATCATTACTTTTTATGATATGTCTTGAGCCAGAATTCTGTTCACCAGTCAGGAATATATTTATATTTTTATATACTATAGCTATAAACAGTGAAAGATATACTAGTATAGAAACATGATATACAGGAATTGTATCTGATGTTATCAGGGATCTCATAGTTCCCAGTGCCAGAAATAAACTTTATCTCTAATTGACAAAAACAAGAAAGGAATTTATTAATTTATGTCCTAAAAAATTACTAAAGTACGGTTGAATTTACGAGCTTGAAGGTGGGAACCCCAGTGTGTGATATTCCCCTCCCTTTGTCCATGTGTTCTCATTGTTCAACACTCACTTATGAGTGAGAACATGTGGTGTTTGGTGTTCTGTTCTTGAGTCAGTTTTCTGAGAATGATGGTTTCCAGCTTCATCCATGTCCCTACAAAGGACAGGAACTCATCCTTTTTTATGGCTGCATAATATTGCATGCTGTATATGTGTCACATTTTCCTTATCCAATCTAGCATTGATGGGCATTTGGGTTTGTTCCAGGTCTTTGCTATTGTAAACAGTGCTGCAATGAACATACATGTGCATGTGTCTTTTTAATAGAAAGATGTATAATCGTTTGAGTATATACCCAGTAATGGGATTGGTGGGTCAAACGGTATTTCTATTTCTAGATCCTCGAGGAATTGCCACATTGTCTTCTGCAATGATTGAACTAATGTACACTCCCATCAACAGTGTAAAAACATTCCTATTTCTCTACATCCTCTCCAGCATCTGTTGTCTCCAGATTTTTTAATGATTGCTATTAGAATTGGCATGAGACAGTATCTCAAAGTGGTTTTGATTTTCATTTCCCTAATGATCAGTGATGATGAGCATTTTTTTCACATTTCTTGGCCACATAAATGTCTTCTTTTGAAAAGTGTCTGTTCATATCCTTTGCCCATGTTTTGATGGGGTTGTTTTTTGCTTGTGAAATTGTTTTAGTTCTTTGTAGATTCTGGATATTAGCCCTTTGTCAAATGAGTAGTTTGCAAAAATTTTTCCCATTCCGTTGATAGCCAGTTCACTCTAATGATTATTTCTGTTGCTGTTCAGACAAATTATTTCTCAATTTTAATTAGATCCCATTTGTCTATTTTGGCTTTTGTTTCCAATGCTTTTGGTGTTTTAGTCATGAAGTCCTCTCCCATGCCTATGTCCTAAATTCTTTTGCCTAGGTTTCTTCTAGGGTTTTTATGGTTTTAGGTCTTATGTTTTAATCTTGAATCCATCTAGAGTTGTTTTTGTATAAGGTGTAAGGAAGGGGTCCAGTTTCAGCTTTCTGCACATAGCTAGCCAGTTTTCCCAACACTATTTACTAAACAGGGAATTCTCTCCCCATTGCTTGTGTTTGTCAGTGATCAAATAGATGGTTGTAGATGTGGGGCTTTACTTCCAAGGACTCTGTTCTGTTCCATTGGTCTATCTCTGTTTTGGTACCAGTACCATGCTGTTTTAATTACTGTAGCCTTGTAGTATAGTTTGAAGTCAGCTAATGTGGTGCCTTCAGCTTTGTTCTTTACACTTAGAATTGGCTTGGCTATGCTGGCTCTTTTTTGGTTCCATACGAAGTTTAAGGTGGTTTTTTCCAGTTCTGTGAAGGTCTTAGGTACCTTGATGGGAATAGCATTGAATCTATTAATTACTTTGGGCAGTATGGCCATTTTCATGATATTGATTCTTCCTAACCATGAACATGGAATGTTTTTTCATCTGTTTGCATCCTGTCTCATTTCCCAGAGTAGTGGTTTATAGTTCTCTTTGAAGTGGTCCTTCACATCCCTTATTGATTATATTCCTAGGTATTTTATTCTTTTTGTAGCAATTGTGAATGGGAGTTTGCTTATGATCTGACTCTTTGTTTTTCTGTTATTGGCATATAGGAATTCTTGTGATTTTTGCACATTGATTTTTGTATCCTGAGACTTTGCTGAAGTTGCTTATCATCTTAAAGAGATTTTGGGCTGAGATGATGGGGTCTTCTAAATATATAGTCATATCATCTGCAAATAGAGACAATTGGACTTCCTCTTTCCCTAATTGAATATTCCTTATTTCTTTTTCTTGCCTGATTGCTCTGGCTAGAACTTCCAAAACTATGTTAAATAGAAGAGGTGAGAGAGGGCACCCTTGTCTATTGCCAGTTTTCAAAGGGAATGCTTCCTGTTATTGCCTATTTAGTATTATATTGGCTGTATGTTTTTCATAAATAGCATTTATTATTTTGAGGTACATTCCATCAATATCTAGTTTATTGAGAGTTTTCAGCATAAAGGGCTGTTGAATTTTGTCAAAGGCCTACTCTGATTATATTGTGATAATTATGTGGTTTTTGTCTTTGGTTCTGTTTATGAGATGGATTATTGTCCACGAGAACTTTCCCAACCTAACAAGACAGGCCACCACTCAAGTCCAGGAAATACAGAGAACACTACAAAGATATTCCTCAAGAAGAGCAACCCCAAAGCACATAATCATCAGATTCACCAGGGTTGAAATGAAGGAAAGCATGCTAAGGGTAGCCAGAGAGAAAGGTTGGGTTACCAACAAAGGGAAGCCCATCAGACTCAACAGTGAATCTCTCAGCAGAAGCTCACCAAGCCAGAAAAGAGTGGGGCTAATATGCAACACCCTTAAGGAAAAGAACTTCCTTTTTTTTTTTTTTTTTTTTTTTTTTGAGATGGAGTTTTGCTCTTGTTACCCAGGCTGGAGCGCAATGGCATGATCTTGGCTCACTGCAACCTCCGCCTCCTGGGTTCAAGCAATTCTCCTGCCTCAGCCTCCCGAGTAGCTGGGACTACAGGCACATGCCACCATGCCCAGCTAATTTTTGTATTTTTAGTAGAGACGGGGTTTCACCATGTTGACCAGGATGGTCTCGATCTCTTGACCTCATGATCCACCTGCCTCAGCCTCCCAAAGTGCTGGGATTACAGGCGTGAGCCACTGCGCCTGTCCTGGAAAAGAACTTTCAACCCAGAA